ACCCCAAACCACAGGCTTTGCTAAAAGCAAGGCAGACTGAGAGGTGAGAGATGTTTGCTGAGCAAAATATAGGGCAATACAATAGAAAGCACTGTCAATATTCTGATACCCGAGGCACTGCCGAGCGAGCTAGAGGCAACCTTAACAGTAACATGTAACTGACAGATTTCTAAACTTCCTGCACAACATCCAAACCTGAAATCAAACTGAATGCACTTGCAGAAAACTTGGATATTGAGTTTTCCTTTGTTTTATGCAGCTTTAATATGTGTGTACTACATTTTTGCTTTGTCATGATACATTCTCTCTCCCTCCCTCCCTCCCTCTTTTTATCTCTCCCACCCCACCTCGCTACCCCCGGTTCTGCAGGAAGACCATATTGCCTAAAAGTGGGATGGCGTGACTGCATTCTTCACATGTGCACGCGTGCATGTGCACACACAACACACACATACAGAGTATTATGTACACAGGTCCTTTATTAACACACATGAAACCGTGTGAATTTACAAGTAGTTTGTGTGTGTGTGTAAGGGGTTAGGGGGAGGGCAAAGGTCCCAGGCTCTGAGACCCATGTAAAATCCAGCTAAATGAATTCCATGCAGGGAAGAAAATACGCGGGCCGGGGGAGACAGCAGAAGCTAGGATATGGGGAAGGGTTTAAAGGGCAATATTGTAAAAACCACTGAATATCACACATCAAGGAAGTAACACTGGTAACCTTTGCACCACTTAATTCTCCCATGGTACTGTAGGAGGGTTTTTCATCCCCACAATCCTTTGCAGTAGTGTGCACAAAGTAGGGGTGGTACTCTTTCCCTACAGACTTTTGCAACAGGTCGAAAGAGATGTGGTGCGTACTTTGCCTCCCACGAACTTTCTTGTGCTTCCCGCTGCATACAATCCAATCATTTCACAGGATTCCCATTTGAAAGGTGGGACAGAACTCAAATAAATAAATAAATAAATAAATAAATAGATAAATAGATAAATAGATAAATAGATAAATAGTAAGGAAGTACAGTAAATGAATAAATGAACATCACTGATACCTTTTTCAGCTTGTGCTAAGCTTTAGTGCCCAAGGTTCCAACTTATTTTCTTTTATACCTACTTTCTTTTATTCTCATTTTCTGTCATTTGCATCCATTGCTGCGAGGGACACTCGTTCTTTTTTGCCCCCCTCCCCTCCTCCCCAAATCCTTTATACTGGATTCCCCCAAGGATACTGGTTTTCCTTCTCTTTCCAGCACTTTTTTCCCCTTGCTGTCTTCGCTGGGAGCCAAACGAGGTGTCTGCAGGGTCTGGTAAAAATAAAAGTCAAGATGGAGGATGCAGCAGTGTGATGGGAGCTTGGCCTCCATCTTGATTTCTTTGACCAGGCCCTGCAGACCCCTCTAGAGCCGAATAAGGGGAGGGAAAGGAGGCTTACAGGACAGAATGCCGACTGGGCAAAGGAAGGCAACGGAGCGGCTGTAGGTGCACACAGATGTTGAGAAAGGCAGGAGAAGCTTTAGACCAATGTTTTTCAACCTTGGCAACTTTAAGATGAGTGGACTTCCACTTCCAGAATTCCCCAGCCAGCATGCTAGCTGGGGAATTCTGGAAGTCCACACATTTCAAAGTTGCCAAAGTTGAAAAATACTGCTTTAGAACCGAGACAGATATGGTTGCCTAACTTAGAGATCCAAAGGGGGAAGGGTAGCTAAGCTCTCCCTCTCTCCCATCCCCTCCCCAAGATTTTTTCACCCACTCCCATATTTCCCCTTGCAGAGGAAAACCCCTTTTCTCTCCTTTAACCTTCCCTTCCTTTTTCGCTTGGTTGTTTTCTTCCTACTCCACTTTGGTGCTCATTGCAGCCGCGGCCAATACTGGGCAAGATCAGAGTCCCCACCTGGGACTTGTACGGGAACTGACACTCCCGGAGAGATTAACCCTAGAAAGAGAGACAGATTGTCAGGGGGGTGGGGGAGAGTCTTCTCCGAATGTTTCAGAGTGCAGAATTCTGAACCCAGGCTTTCCAGCTTAGAGAAATGACAGAGCCCCAGAGAAATTTCTGGGCCCCTGGAATAAAATGTGTGCATCAGTTGCCACAGCTGCATTCTTAACAACCGTTTAAGAGGACGGGCAGGTCCATACACTATCTGCTGTTTGCATCAGGAAGGAGGTGAAATATACATCTCTAGGGCCTCTACTTTCACACAAAACACTCTTGCTTTGAGCCCAGATCCAGGCAGATGGTTACATATATAGAAGCAGGCTTTCCACTTCATAATGTCACAGCTTGCTTGCTTGCTTTTCCTTCCTTCCTTCCTTCCTTCCTTCCTTCCTTCCTTCCTTCCTTCCTTCCTTCCTTCCTTCCTTCCT